AAGTTTGCCCAAGACCCTCTTAAAGAACTAAAAAACTTGTTAAGAATTGAACAACAGGCTGAGGTCACATAGGGCAAGAGAGTATGGAGCCGTGCATCTGTTAAACCTAAAGGCAGCCTTATGCATTAACAAAGCACCAACCTCAAAATACATTTCAGCTATATGGTTTGGAGAAGAAGGAAGCCAGTTAACCAAGCAGATGAAGCCACATGGATGCATTGTTTCTGCTTCATCTGAGTCTAAAGAGGCTCTTCTCTCTCTAAGGTCAGAACTCAGACCTTAGAGCTGCTTAAGGTCCCAGAGGCCATGCAGCAACTACAAGTTGTCTTCTTACAGCATGGTATCTTCAAATTGGCTCAGAATGACAAAAATTTAAACAGTAGGTTGCAACTTTAACACTTATGAAAAAAATAATCTGCATGAACAAGGTGTGTCCAATATACAGGTAGAAGGCAAGCCCAGAAATCCCATGGTTGCGGATACCAAAATAAATTTCTTCTATCAGTGAAAAATTCTTGTATGTTTTAAGACTATTTCTCACATCTTCAACATTTTTCCTTTTGAAGGCTGGCTTTTGCCCTAGCCCTAGGCCCATCAACCTTCACTTGTAAAGACTGTCCTCGGTCTTCTCAACTGCACTACAAATTTCCCAATCACAGTCACAAGAAGATTGACTGAAATTGGTTATACTGTTGACTCTCTAGGCTTCAGACACCAAGTAGGTAAGTCTCAGGATTTAGAAGCCCTTTCACTTGCTCCCTGCCCAATCACTTCTCTCCTAGACCTTCCAACAGAGAAACGCTCATAGCAAATCACTCTAGGACAGGATTCATGTCCTTTATCTAGGTCTCCTAGCTATACTCCATCCTATAAAACAACATTCAGCTACCTTTTCCCCATAGAATTGCTAATTTATTTAACCTGAACTATTTGCAGGATATGATTAATTTCCTTCTCTCATTTTGAAAGATAGAGAGAAAAAAAATCAAATTTGAATATGGTATTACTTAACTGTAACAATTTCAAAATACAAATTTTTCAAGCTTTCTATTGTAGCACCTTTTTTTCAATATATAGTTTAATTTATAAAAAACGTAAAAAAGAAAAAGACAAGATTTGGAACAAAAGTTTTCGCTGGCTTGTTTTGCTTTTTTTTTTTTTTTTCTATGCTTTAGAGTGACAAGAATTTTCAACACACGAATTCTAGGCTTTGTTCAGGGTGAGTTAAAACTATTGTACTCTTGTGGAACAGAACAGTACTTTAACCTTCCTACTGCCTTCTACCCTGGAGTGTTCCATGATGCAAATTAAAAAATAAAAGAGTAGCAACACACTAGCGAATTCTGAGCAAAAGACAAAGACCAGGATTGTCTTCAATTAAAGGCAAATCTTAAAAATCAACAAACTAGCTATTTTTCTGCTTTTCTACATCTTTATTTCAGGATGTTTCATATGAAATTTTTGGACTTACAAACAGCAAACACATATGACAGAGAGAAAGGAAATTATTAATCAGATAGATAGGTAACATTCTACAAAAGCAGGTGCATGTGATAGAAAAATGTTTAACTAGACAATACTTTATATCATATTTAACCATACGCATATACATAAAGTTGATTTGATTTTTTTATTATCTACTAAAGTATTCTTAAAAGTTTTGTTGCCCCAAAAGTGTGTCTCAGTTTGTAAATTATAAATCCCTAATCATTAACTACTCTATAGTCTCCATAGGTAGACTTTTGGAGTTCAAAGGTTAATTTTTATGAATTATGCTCAGATATTCTATTCTGAAACAAATAAACAAATAGAATAGAAGAATTCTAAAAGCTGTCAAACTGCTGAATGTAAATCATGCCTTTTGATGATGAATCCAGAACGTCTTCTTCCAAGTAAATCCCTATTGCTGTTTCTTAAGCTTAAGTAAAATCATTTTTATTCACCTATAAGAATCTAAATATTGTTTCAAGCCCTTTGGAACATACAATATAGCATTAAGAATAAGAAGCTTGCCATCATGGACCTGGTGTTCCTCCAAGAAAGAGGTGTAGTGATCTTTGAAGCTCTGAAAACATAGCTTCATCAAGTCTCTGAACATTGTCTGTATTGAGATAGGCTTTTCTATTTGAAAATCAATCTTTAAAAATACTTCAGAAGATGATGCCAAAACCACTCAAAAGAAATATATCCAAAGCAGCATCCAAAGGTCTTACACAAGCGTGAAAAGTCCTCTCATGAGCACAAAAAGCGAGGGACAACAGTATACAAGAAAATATTTGCAGTTTACCTGCTAGCTCTGTTTCAAATAAACACATACTATAAGATAAAGATTTTGTTAACAAAATGTATGGTTAGTTTAGCTGGAAGGGAATTTAATGAAGATGTGTTCATGTACATATTCAGCTTTTAAATATTTAGCAGGTATAACATTCAATGATAAAAATTTCACACACTAGAACATTTTCAAGCTTCATGAAGAACCTCTTAGGATTTCCATATGGTTCACAAATACATGAATACTAGAGAATACTAGGCTAATAATACACCTAATGCAGCACCTCAGCCAATGTATATGATGTACTTTGCATTATTTTTTAAAATTGTTCCACCAGTTGAAAAGATAAACAAAACCTCTAACAAAATAAACACACATAACGAGGTATAATAATGGATAGGGACATTGTTCCAAAGTAGACAGAGGGTTAGTATTATTGAAGATGTATTATATGATACTTAATTAAAAGCTTGCAAGTGAGAAATTAAGTCAACTGAATAATTAAATTCAATGGATGCAGATACGAAGTTAAGAAAGGTCAGATTGTAATGTTCTCATTAATGCTGACTACTACTGAAAATAATTTACGGAAGAACTGCTTATGGAGTTAAGGATTATCTACTGTAAGTATACTTGCTACAAATGGTGTGTTAATGGAGTGTCTGTGTTAATATATGCACCTTTCATCTGCAGTCCCATCTACACAGCAAGCAGGCTGGATTGTTTGATGAGAAGCCATGAGCTTGGAAACACCAAAGCCCCAGTTCCCATGCTCAACAAATGGTCTCCTGACCAGCTGTGCAGAAGTGAGGCTTCCAGGCTTCTCACTTCTGCCATTTGTTTAGCAGTCTGCCACACAGTGATTCGCAGGGCTCTGCTCACCTCTACAGCCCACAAAGATTATCATGAAATCAGGATTACAGGCACTGCTACACCCCCGGGGAAGCTGAAGAGCTAGGAAGCCCATTTGGTTTTAGATCTATCCCAAGTATTCCTGAGATGGCAACATTCTGGTGTTTCACAAACAAATGCCGCCACCTGGTGTTCAGGTACATGGCTTGACTAGACCTAGAAGGATGAACATAGGAAACGGACACAGGTAAGTTATAATTGCTATACCCTCTTCTGAGAATGTTAAGTAAGGATCTAACTAGACTAAGAGGACTAATAAAAGACAGTACTTCCTGGGATTCACTCATTTTGTCCAGATCCAGCACAATCTGTAGTGGTCTCTGATAACCTTGAGAAGCGTGATTATGAAAAGCAATATTTATACTGACCACCAGTGTTAGAGGAGGATAAAATAATTTTTCGGGTGGAAGCCAAACATGTTTCTATCTTCTTCAATGCATGAACATTAATGACTTGGTATCTGCAGAGATGACGCCACAATGTGACACAGCTAAAACGAAGCAGGGCTGCAGGTCATGCAATCCGTTCAATGGATTCCAGTGCGACAGGAAGGCCAACAGCCAGTTTCAAGAGTTAAAAAAGCTGGGAGGTGATTTAATGAACCTTAAGCTGTACTCAAAAGCTAGTCCCAAAGGAGAAAATACTTCACTTATTGGAGTGAGTTTTTCTCTGCCAATACAGCCAATTTTAGCCTAAAGATGTTTGTGTCCTCCAATTAGACCATGAAATGGAAGTGACCCATACCAATCTACTGGATACTGTTTATGCTTATTTTATTTTTACACTAATACATCATATATATGCATATATATACGTAGTTTAGATATAAACTTGCTGTCTGTCATTTATTGAGATATCATCCTTCACCTATGTAGCCAATTCAATTTTACAGAATTCCACTTCCACATATACATTCCAAGGTTCAACTTTTCAGACAAATCTTGGATGAAAATGCTTTCCAAAATCATGGAATTTTTCACTGAAGTTAAATTTGGTTTCTGGCTAGGTCTGGCTGTACTACTTGTCCGCATTTCTACTTAGAAAAAGTTGACAGCAAGTTAATGCTTAAAGAATGACAATTATCCATATTAGATGTGTTTAATTCGTACTAAAGAATCAGCAGAAACCACAGGAATCTTTGTGTAGATACTCACTTCAGACATTTTTACCAATATGTCTTTATAAAACAGCCCTAGTGATGCTGGGATGTGGTAGTATCAATGAGAACTTTTTGCCCCCAGTTTGTCTTAATTCAGACATGATCAAAGGGAAATGTAAATCCCAACAACACCTACTGTGGACATCAAGTAAAAACAGTACTGAGTCATATATTAAATTTCTGAACTATATTTATTCTAGTGAAGACTGAAATAAGAATACTAATTGACAGCAAAATAATAAACATCCTATAACCAACTTTCTCAAATTAGTAAACAATTTTTACCAGGGTCCTAAGGAACTCCATCAACTCTTTGTGGTGTGTAGAAGAAGGCTTGAGAGAACTAAAATTGCAGTTATTTAGCCACTCAAGACAGTCAGTGGTGTTTTGTAGTAGTTCATCAGCACATTTTTCATTTACTTCTGATTGTAGGTCTTTCAGACACTGTTCCACACTAAAAAAAAACATAAAACAAAAAACATAGGATTTCTTCATGACTTGGAGATGAAATCATTTTAGGTATTCCATATTTCAAGAAGGAAAAATTATTTTAACGTAATTTAACACTAGTCCTTCTAGTTCATTGATTAAATTACTCTCCCAAAATAAAAGCTGAAACTGCAGGATTAACATTTAAATATAGTCGAACCAGATCATCAATAAATTTCGTTAAGGACAGACTGTATCATACTTAGTAAGATGAAGAAGCATCCCACTTCTCAAATAATCTTGTATGTTTTAATAAAGTACTTAGTGAATAAGACATCACTCAAGACCAGCAAACCTTGGTATTCAGTGCTTAATTAGCCAAAGCAGAGACTATAAACCGAACTACCACTTTCAAAGGTGAACGTGCCATTTAACTTCTTCATTAACCTGTAATTGTACATATAACATATCTTAACAACTTCTTAAAGATCCATTGACACATGACAGAATCTGTTGAAAAGAATTTTAGAGTCAGTTTGCTGAGCAAGCAGATCTTTTCTTTCCTGTTTTTATCATTAGAATATTTGAACGAAAACAGAGGGTGGTTTCAAAGACCTGATCTGCTCCTTAACACTAATCTAGAATCATAATCCTGTTTGTGAAATTGTATGTGGTTGGTATGGTAATTATTGTGATTCCAGTTGCAAAAGTCACAGGAACAAGAGCATTCCTGAAAAGATTTTATTTCTATTTGTATGGACACTTATTAGAAAATAACAAAATAGAAAAATCTAAAAGCAATCTATATGATTTCCTACAGAAATTTTCTTTATCTATGAACTACTTTCTCAAAGACAATATTGCCTTTAAAAAGGCAATTTTCAATATTTCATATAATTTCAGTTAGAAAAAATAGTGTTGACTAAATCTAGGTAGATCTAGGTTTAATACAAGCAGAGTCAGCAATAAAACTCATATTAGTTTTGTTTTACTGGAGTAAAAGATGATTCTCACTTTTATCTGAATGACTATTTTGGAGTATGCTAGTTATTCCATTTATGTTCTTAACTGCTGAAAAAGAGATGTGAGTTTTAATACAAATTAACATTTAGTTCTCTCTCTCACTATAAAGTCACAGGACTAGATTAGTCTCAGCTCTTTATATGCATTTCAAAGGCAGATACTTTTGACAACATTAGTTTCCATTCTCATAATGCAAGACAGACAACTAACTTGCCTATTATACTTCCACTCAGGTCTCTATTTTTTAAAGATGAAGTATGTTTTTTTTCTTTAACTGTTCTCTAACTTTCCCAAACTTGACTAATTTTAATAAAAGTTGAAGAAAGAGAAGGGAAGGCGAAAAGAAGATTACGATGATGAGATGATAAGAGAAAAGGAGAGGAGGAGAAGTGGAAGAGAGGAATAGGAGGAAAGAGAAGAAAAAAAGGGGAAGAAAAATTTGGAAATAAAGCAAAGCTTTAATCATGTTAAAAGCAACAAAAAAAATACCAAATTAAAAAGTCTCCAGTTTTCAAAAGCAGACACAAAACTATATTTTTTTAAACTCAAATGTAATCTACAAGAATTTTGTAATATCTTTACACAGAATTTCTCTGCATGGAAAGATTCATTTTCCATGACTTGTCACATTTCAGGAGAAATTATTTTTATACAAAATGTCATCTGCTCTGAATATGACTAAAATAGAAATCTCAAACTCTACTAACGAATGTCAGTTTGTAACAGGAAATCAGTGATGAAAGGCCATTTTGCTTATCACCTACTGACTACTTTTTTCCATTTATTTCAACCTGAAGTAATGTTTCAGTATGTGAAAAAAAAAAAATTATTTGTTTTTCTACTGGATTTTCTCCTCCTTTATTGAGTGATTCACATTTTTTCTTTTCCAGATGTCATGCAGTGTACCCTATATTCTTATTAGGTATTTACTGTCTCATTCTGATCACCAGCAATAAAATAAATCAGTGCATCCATAGCTCTGGGAACTGAGTCTGTTAGTTTGAACTGACATTTTAGAAAACCAGTGGAAAAAGTAACGAAATGATCACACGATATTAAGTTCATAGATAAACAATTGAATGTGTTTTTCCTTTATTTTTAAACTACATGCAACAAAAACAACAAAAGATAGCAGTATATTTTTTCCTAAGAATAATTTTTAAAATCCAGTGAGTGCATCCAGTGAATCAATGCATACCACCTATGACAGGTTTTGCTTTGTGCCTTTTGTTTAAGACAATTGTAGTAAGTAAGAAAAATCCATTGACTACAAATATAGAATGCAAAGACGATCATAAGTATATAAGTGCTGAATGAGAGTGCTATTTTGGAGGGGAGAAAAAAAAAAAGGACTGTAGATAAACTGTTTCCAAAACAATGATGACTATATAGCTTATAAAAAACACTGCCTTAAAATAAGCTGATAATTTTGAACAGTTTATTTTTCCATATTTAATTGTATTCATTAAGAATTACGGGTATTTTTATTTTATGTTCGGGAGACATGAGGTAAACTGTTCAAAGTGTATCATCTACTCTATTGAAAAGAAGAAGTCACATTTTATGGCTGCATTATCTTCAGAAACCCAATTCAGTAACTATAACCAATGCTAAAGTATCCAGAAGCTTTTAAAAAATTAAAAACACACACTCCTATAAAACTCTCTATATAAAAATGAAGGACAAGTCTTTTCAAGAAAATTCTAAGCATGAGCAAGTTCAAAATAAAGCGCACTGAAACAAATATCTTCTCAGCATCAAAGGACTTTATCAGGAGCACAAAGGACTTCCATGAAAAACAACCTTTCTGTGCCTGCGGCCCGCTCAGTTTCCTGATGGCATAGCCCAGCCATGAATACCAGTTCTAAACTTGACAAAAGATTGGCATGTATCGTTTTAACTTGTGAAACCGGTTCTCAGGACTATGAAACTAAATGCCTTGTTTATACACTTTGACTCCTGGGACACTATCAAAGGATTTTATTGTGGCATGATGATGTGTCTCATTCAGTCATACCCAAGATTATATACCCCTAGATTACAGCATTGTGCATTGTAAAGGGTCTACTCTTGTTAGTCTATGTTAACTTGCTTCAATTAGAAACCAGATTTCAGACTCATCTTGCCAATAACCTGCCAACTATAAATAGGCTACACTGCTCACAAGGCCAGATATTTTAGTAATTTGTCCTAACACTGATAAAAGGATTAGGCGGATAGGTTTCATTGGACCTCCCTGTAGGTACAAACCGTGATAATTCTGTTTATTTTATTTAATCCTTTACCATCAAATTTGGAGTAAAACTGTTTTTCACTGAATAAACTCTTTCTTTACTTAAAACATACTCTTATCTAAATATGATCTCAAAACGATGCTATTTCTCTCTCTTAAGTTTTTTGCCAACACTTAATATTATAGGGACATGGTTAGTTATAGATGCTTATTCCATTACATGAACTATACCATTAAAAGAAATATTTAGGAATTTGGTTACCAATGAAAAAACATTGTTTTTGTATATTATCAGAGTTTAGAAAGCACTAATTCTAAATAAAACACTTCTGCCAAATAGGAATAAAATTTTTCTAACTGATAAAAAGTGCAGGCTAGTATTTAAACCTTTATACTTTCATATCAGTGTAGTGTGAAGGAGTCTTTGACAGTGTAGCGTGATTTGAGTTTGTTTTTGAAATTTACTAAAGCTTAAGAAACCATAAACAAAATCTTTATACAAACATGACAGGAAAAAATGTGCTCAATAAATTTAATGAATTATAATCTTAATAGCACAATTACATAAAGCCACATTAAGTACTAAATTCCAATTCTTTTTCTTTCAAATAACCATTTTTCATTAAGGGTTAACCAAAAAAACTATTAGAGTAAATTCAGTGCAGTAAATAAGTTTAAATTTTTTAAATAAATTGAGGCCTCAACCCAAACAATGTCAACTGACATTAAGGATCTGAGATGGGAGCATACATTGCTTAAAATCATGTGCAGTCAATACAAGATATGGTTGCACACAGGACATTACTGTATCTAAATCAGGTATCCAGGATCTGGAGTTCAACAGGGAAATCAAATATAGTTCTGTCCGTAAAGTTTTTCCCCGTTTACTACTGTTAATGGGTTCTTTAGTTCATATCTATGTTTTTTGAATCATCCTTGAAACACCTAACCCTAATGAGAAGGTGAGGCAGCCACTTTGTGTTTTCAGAGTTCAGTCACCGAAGTTAGATGTTGCTGTACCTAACCTGGAGATGCCTAATTCTTCTGTTGGAAATTAGCCCATTTGTACTACATTGGAAAGGCTATGCCTGGTCACTCTGAAATCCACGTGTCATTAGGAGATACCAAGAATATAACAACAGGACAACATACATCAATATTTCTCAGAATAGTCTTGTGGTCTCTAGTAATTTGTGACATAATGACTTAAATCAGAGATAGTGTCTTACTATCTAATAGCCCTCAATACATTTTTCTTCCATGAATGTTTCCACTTTCAATCCATGGAACTGTTCAGTCATAAACAGAAAACGATAGTCAACAAACTGCTAAATTAGGACTAGCGTATAAAAGTTCAAAGAAAAATGTAAGCTTTTTCTGTAGCAAAGTAATCTGAAAGTTAAACTCATTTGCTTTTTTTTTCCTAAAATTAATTAGTTTTTCTGGAAGGATATACTAAGTCCCATACTAGGAATAGCTTGAGCCTCTGAGGGCACAATGATGATTACAGTTAGTCCTACTGGTATACCATTAAGCCAGTGAAACTGTGATTTCACTGAAAGAGTTCCTCTTTCTTACAGATGAGGTTTCTCATAAACTAAATGAAGTTCTGTCATTTTATCCGTGTTCACAGTAAGAGTGCTTCTCTCGTGTGCCATGTCAATACTGTTTGGTAAATACTCCCACTGT